AACCACCTGAGCTTTAGGGATCACCCTAGACTGGGTACCCCGGGGACGCCTGAACTTTGGAGCTTTGGGGACCACCTGAACTGGGCTTTGGGGACCACCTGAACTTTAGGCACAGGGGACCACCTGGACTTGGCTGGGGACCACCTGAACTTTGGGCACCCCAGGGGACCCACTGAACTTGTTTTGGGCGCGGGACCTGGACTGGGCTTTGGGGATTTGGGGACCACTGGACTGCCCCAGGGGGACCATGGACTGGTTTGGGGGACCTGTTCCATTTTGGGGACCACCTGAGACTTTTGGGGTGGCACCATTTTGGTCCTGGGTTTGGCCTTTGGGACCTGAACTTTATTTGGGGACCAGTTTTGGGACCAGGTGCCTGGGCTTAGGCACCCCAGGGGACCCACTGTTTAGGCACCCAGGGGATCTGCACCTGAGCTTTTGGAGGCACTGGCTGCATTTTGGGGACCACCTGAACTTGGCACTGAGGTTGGACCCTGGACTTTGGGCCCCAGGGGGACCAACTGGCTTTGGTTTGGGTGTTTAGGCACCCCAGGACCACCTGAACTTTGGGCACTTGGGTGGTGGCCCAGGGGACCACTGGACTGTTTTGGGGACTGCACAGACTTTATTGGGACCCTGTTCATTTGGGGACCACAGACTTTAGGCACTGAGTTTGTAGGCTTTAGGACCAACTGAACTTTGTTTTTAGGGGATACTGGACTTTAGGCACCCCAGGGGATACTGAGACTGGCTTTAGGGGACCTGACTTTGGCACCCAGGACACTGAACTGGGCTTTGGGGACCCCTGAGTTTTTGGGCTTTTGAGGGTTACCTGGACTTTGGGCACCCCAGGGGACACTGACTTTAGGCACCCCAGGGGATACCTGAGACTTTGGGCACCCAGGGACCATGCCTGGACTTCATTTTGGGGACACCTGAACTGGGCACCCAGGGGACCAACTGAACTTTAGGCACCCAGGGGACCATGCCTGGACTTTGGGCACCCAGAGGGACCACTGACTTTGTTTTAAGGGGACACACAGACTAGGCACCCCAGGGGACCACCTGAACTTTGGGCACCCAGGGGACCACACAGACTTTGAGCTTGGGGACCACCTGAACCCCCAAGGCACCCCACCCCAGGGGACCACCTGAACTTTAGGCACCCCAGGGGACCACCTGAACTTTAGGCACCCCAGGGGACCACCTGAACTTTAGGCACCCCAGGGACCACCTGAACTTTAGGCACCCCAGGGGACCACCTGAACTTTAGGCACCCCAGGGACCACCTGAACTTTAGGCACCCCAGGGGACCACCTGAACTTAGGCACCCAGGGACCACCTGAACTTTAGGCACCCCAGGACCACCTGAACTTTAGGCACCCCAGGGGACCACCTGAACTTTAGGCACCCCAGGGGACCACCTGAACTTTAGGCACCCCAGGAGACCACCTGAACTTTAGGCACCCCAGGGACCACCTGAACTTTAGGCACCCCAGGGACCACCTGAACTTAGTCTTGTATACATCACCACCTCGTTATGTTCCTTTCTCTCCCTTACTCCCCTTTCTACCTCTCCTCCCTCTCCTTAGTTTCTACCCTTATCCCGGCTCCCCACTGTCTTATGGTCCGTGCGTTAGTGTCAGTGTAAAATATTTATTATGTAATAATAATAATAATAATAATTAACGGTTTATTGAAATAGCTTAGCAGCCAGAAGGCTGAAAATATACAGTTACATATTTGGGAATGGGTTACGAATTACAAATAATATACAAGTGACATATGACACAAATAAGACATATAGTAACTTATAGTAACTTAGATGTGTGTGAGTATGTGTGTAACTGTGTATGTATGTATGTATGTATGTATGTAGGTGTATGTGTGTGTGTGTGGAGAGAGAGAGAGAGAGAGAGAAAGAGAGATACTTGTTTTTATCCCTTACTCTCTCAGTCCTTATTTTTTTTCCATCCCTAAAGTGCCAAGTGCCAGGAGTGCCAGGCCAGGGTCAAAGAGGGTCACACTGAGCTGATCCTTGGCGACAGATTTGTGTGTGTGTGAGTGTGTGTGTGTGTGTGTGTGTGTGTGTGTGTGTGTGTGTGTGTGTGTGTGTGTGTGTGTGTGGAGTCGTATGGTCTCCTGCATACATTGTCTTGTGTTTACTTAGCTGTTTTTCTGTCTCTCTCTCTCTCTCTCTCTCTCCTCTCTCTCTCTCTCTCTCTCTCTCTCTCTCTCTCTCTCTCTCTCTCCCGTGTGCGAGGCCTATCTGTAAGTGTGATCTGTAGTGAGGTCTGTCGGCCAGCTGATGGGACCGTAGATACACACACACACACACACACACACACACACACACACACACACACACACACACACACACACACACACACACACACACACACACTTTTCTCACGCTGGCCTCCCGACCTCCTGATTTTACACTGGCTTGCCTATCTTTTTGTTGTCTATTGACCTCCAGCTGGCTCCTCCCAAAGCCTTTCAACCTCTAACCTCCTTCTTACCCCCCTCAGCCTCCAACCTCCCAACTATCCTCCTATCTCCCAACCTCCTCCGGCCTCCCCAAAAGGCCCTCTTTCCTCCCCGACCTCTCTCCTGCCTCCTCCAAAAGCCTTCCAACCTCCCATCAATCTCCCACCAGCTTCCCAACCTCCCTCCGGCCTTCTGACCTCCCACCGTCGTGTTTAACTGTAGAGAGAGAAGCGAGGGTATAGAAAGGAGAAGAGAATGACGTGAATGATAGAAGAATGAAAGAATGACACGAGAATGATTGAAAGAATGATAGAAGAATGAAAGAATGACACGAGAATGATTGAAAGAATGATAGAAGATTGAAAGAATGACACGAGAATGATAGAAAGAATGATAGAAGAATGAAAGAATGACACGAGAATGATAGAAAGAATGAAAGATTGAAAGAAATCCCTGAGCGCTATTGGCCAGAATCACCATAAATTGCCCAGTGAAAGTCGCCAATTGAAGGCTCGTGTCTCATCTGCAAGTCCAAGCTGGCCAGAATGACCTTTGACCCCGTGAGTGATTTTTGACTCCCTGGGAAAAAAAGTTTGTTTCCAGTGACGACCCGGAGGAAAGTTTTTATTTATTTGTTTGATTGTTTACTTGTTTGTTTGTTTGTTTGATTGTTTACTTATTTGTTTGTTTGATTGTTGACTTAGTTATTTATTTACTTATTATTTGATACAGTAGTGTATAAAAATGTGGACAAATTGATCACCTGAAGATTAATCACCCTAACCTAACCTAACCTAACCTAAGAACACAGGTAATTTTGCAGGTAATGAAGTTATCCATTATGAGGTGAATAGATGATATAAGATGACACTTGGCACTGCCGGGGCGTCAGGTAGGCACTAGAGGAGGTGGTTAATGGCTCCCTCGGTCTGGTGTGGTATGGGGGGTGGGATGTGGTTGGTGTGGTGTGAGGGGTTGGTACATGGTGTGGTGTCGGGGATGGTGTGAGGTGTGGTGTGGTGGGTGTTTCGTGCTGTGAGGGGTTGGTATGGTGTGGTGGTGTGGTATGGTGTGGTATATGGTGTGGTGGTGGGGTGGGGTGTGGTATATGGTGTGGTGGTGGGGTGGGGTGTGGTATATGGTGTGGTGGTGGGGTTAGGTGTGGTATATAGTGTGGTGTGGTATGGTGTGGTATATGGTGTGGTGATGCTTATTTCTGGCTATAGAATGAAGTCAACTATATATACAGCTCGTGTGTGTGTGTGTGTGTGTGTGTGTGTGTGTGGTCGTTTCTTGTCACCTCACAGTATACTTTGTTGCGGGTGCTGGCGTCACACACACACACACCAACCCCCACCGACCCATAGAGGGTGGGGAGGGATGTGGGAGGGTGGAACAGGGCGTGGATATGGGATGGGTAGGGTGGAGCTAGGTGGGGCGAAGCTGGGGTTGGTGGGGTGATGGGGTGGGATGGGTGGGGTGATGGGGTGGGATGGGTGGGGTGATGGGATGGGATGGGTGGGGTGATGGGTGGGGTGGGTGGGGTGATGGGGTGGGTGGGGTGATGGGGTGGGATGGGTGGGTTGATGGGGTGGGTTGATGGGGTGGGATGGGTGGGGTGATGGGTGGGATGGGTGAAGTGAAGCCATCGTAAATACTCGTTGTTACAGACATTTATATCATTAGGTAAATAACACCAGAGATTTATAGCTGGTGGTGACAACTGAAGGAGGAGGAAGGAGGAAGAAAGGAGGAAGGAGGAGAAGGAAAGGAGGAAGTAGGGGACATAGAGAGGAAGGAGGAGATGGAAGGAGATGAAGATGAAGGAAGGGAGGAAAGTAGAAAATAAGGAGGAGGAGGAGGAAGAAGGAAGAAAGTAGATAAGGAGGAGGAAGGAAAAAGTAGAGAATCAAGAGGAGGAGAAGGGGAGGAAAAGTAACTATATTGTATTTGGAGGAGGTCACTAACTTTACACACACACAGAGACACACACACACACACACACACACACACACACACACACACACACACACACACACACACCATACCTCAGTGACACGTTTAAATTATCCGCTCTGCTGCCTCCCTCCCTCCCTCACTCCCCCTCCTCCCTCCCTCCCTCACTCTCCCCCCTCCTCCCTCCCTCCTCCCTCCTCCCTCCTCTCCCCCCCTCCCTCCCTCCCTCCCTCCCTCCTTCCTCCTCCCTCCCTCTCCCCCCTCCCCTCCCTCCCTCCCTCCCTCCCTCCCTCCCTTCCTCCCTCTCCCCTCCCTCCCTCCCTCCCACCACCGTCTACACCTGTGAGATGTCGGCCATGTGTCACGCCCCTGGTGTCTTAACCCCTTGAGTGTGTCGCCAGCCTGAGTGTGCAAGATAGATCTCTGTTTTAACCCCTTGAGTGTGTCGCCAGCATGAGTACTAATCTGGCCTCTGGTTTAACCCTTGAGTACAAGCTAGCCTCTGGTTTAACCTTGAGTACAGTAGCCTCTGGTTTAACCCCTTGAGTGCAAGCTAGCCTCTGGTTTAACCCCTTGAGTACAAGCTAGCCTCTGGTTTAACCCCTTAGTACAAGCTAGCCTCTGGTTTAACCCTTGAGTACGACTAGCCTCTGGTTTAACCCCTTGAGTACAAGCTAGCCTCTGGTTTAACCCCTTGAGTACAAGCTAGCCTCTGGTTTAACCCCTTGAGTACAAGCTAGCCTCTGGTTTAACCCCTGAGTGCAAGCTAGCCTCTGGTTTAACCCTTGGTGAAGCTAGCCTCTGGTTTAACCCCTGAGTGCAAGCTAGCCTCTGGTTTAACCCCTTGAGTACGAAGCTAGCCTCTGGTTTAACCCCTTGAGTACGAAGCTAGCCTCTGGTTTAACCCCTTGAGTATGACGCCACCTTGAGTTAATGTTGATACTCTTTGCTTCCCGTCTGAACAATAGAAATGTTTTAGTAGTTGTTTACAGCGCTCGTTCCATCCCCTGAGAGTCTAGTTTACGAGAGAGACATTCTGTAACCTGACGCCCGGGCCATGGCTCTTGAAACACAATACCCGGGCCATGGCTCTTGAAACACAATACCCAGGCCATGGCTCTTAAACATAATACCGGGCCATGGCTCTTGAAACACAATACCCGGCCATGGCTCTTGAAACTAATACCCGGGCCATGGCTCTTGAAACACAATCCAGGCCTGGCTCTTGAAACACAATACCCAGGCCATGGCTCTTGACACAATACCCGGCAACCGCCAGCTCTTGAAACCTAATCCGCCATGGCTCTTGAAACCTAATACCCGGCCATGCTAAACGAGCCATGGCTTGAAACGCTCTTGAAACACAATACAGGCCATGGCTCTTGAAACTAATACCCAGGCTATGGCTCTTGAAACACAATACCCGGCCATGGCTCTTAAACACAATCAGCATGCTCAAACCAAT